AGCCCGAGATTGGCCATGAGCCTGGCATGGGCGCGAAGGGGCAAACTATCTCCGAGTGCCGACCCAGCTGGATCAAGAAGTTCCAAACATGGGGTGGAAATATTTCATAATATTTCACATGGATGATCCACATTTTTCATGGAATCGCCCTTCTTTGCTGGAACCACTTGGTACTGTTGCGAATCGTTCGCGAACCCCGTGGTGAAATTTCGCCCTGGTGATGCATCCTAGAATGTAGAAGTCCAAAGAGGGCCAGGTGTAAACTTGGATCTTTCGCAGGTCCTCCACCAAAAATAGAATGATGCAGCACTTTCTCGAAGTCGGAAAGAGCCCATTCAAAACACACTCGATGAACATAGTCCTTCCATCGACCTTTTGATTTTGTGCACACATATCGTTGCAAACAAACGATTTCTTCCAACAGTCGCAACCTTTGGAGAGGTGGGGGTCTCATCTTCACTCATCGTCTCCACCATGCCACGGTGGACATGCAGGGAATCTGGCACGGCACGCGGTTCGGAGAGAGCCTTGCGGAACTGAAAAGATGCATAAAGAATCAGTACTAGAATCAGCCTAAGGCTTGTCTTGAGTCTTAAGATTTGTCAAGAATGTCAAGACTGGTGGGCTATCCCTCCGAAGTGTCCACGAACAATGGACCCCAGGAAGGTAGGACATGCATGGTCGATATGGCCTGCACCACCATCATACCTTCTCCCTCCCTGCGTCGCACACAATAGCCGACCCTGCCTCCCTCTCCAAGGCCCTCGCCAGGTGAACGGTGTTAGGACCCCCACGGAAACTCGGAGCGCCCGAGTTTCGCACTTGGTGTCTGAGGTGTGGCTGATGGGTCTGTGTGATGTTGCTTTCCCCATTGGCCTGGTTGCTGGGTGTGCTGCCCAGGAGTTCTCGTGGTTTTGGGTGGGTTTTTCTCCTGTCAAGTGAAAAAGCCTGCATTTTGCTGCTTTGCATTTTGGTTATATAGACGCTCTGGTGAAAGGGATGGTGGTGACACTGGGCCTTCGAAGCACCTTGGATTCGAGTGCGTCATAGGCCCTCCTACGACTAGCGCATCTGAGCCACAAAAAGTCATCGACAAGCGGAGTCTGAGCAAGGTCTCACGCTGGAGTGCCCATAAGGAAAGTAAGGTAACGATTGGCAACCAAGGCAAGCAGCTAGTTATAGAGCCATTGTATGCCATGTCTTTGGTTTTACACGTGTTTCCTAAAGACAACAAGGTATAAGTATATCAATTAAGCCGCAGCCTGTAATTAGCTGTTGGTTCAAACACCAACTTTGGGCACTACAAGGCCTTGGTGTCTACTAAAGTTGGGCATGCCCTTACCTGCAACATGCAACAAATGATGAAATTAATGAGCTCCTCTAGCCTCTATTGAAGCAGTGAACCGGCTCTCTCTCTCTCTCCCAGTCTGTCGCCTTCAACTTCAACTGTATTTTTGATACTGCCAAAGGCTTTTCATCATAACAAGGCGTGTGCCACAGCCCCAATGGACAAGTGTCGCCCATCATACATGAGCCCCTTCAAATCTACGGCCACTCTGGTTACAAACAAGGATACCCTCCATCAAATTGCCTCATGGAGGCGGCGGGCAGGCCAAGAGTCCGACGCAAGGGGCCAAACTGATCCACCTTTCCGAGATTACATGACTTGTCCGACTTGTCCCATCCAGAACTGCTCAAATCCCTGACTTGTCCCACTGTTGCCGACTCGCCAGCACCGTTCCGTGCCTCCGAGGCGGTCAACATCTTGGAAGCCAAACGCCTCACCGGTGAGCGACACGGGAGGTAGTGTTGCTTGAGGCTTCTAGTGCCACTGTCCCTTCAAACTGTTTGAAGCACAGTTGTTTAATGTTCATTTGTAGTACTTTAGGATTTGTAGTGTATATATATATATATAAACGACTCAGGCTGGTGTCAGGGAGATCTTTCGGAGCTGGTGATCGGGTGTTCCTTTGGTGCCTTTTGTGCTTTTTTTGGTGCCTTTTGGTGCCGCTCCCCACCACATTGCAACATCAATTCCTTGGATGACCATCATGCTGAGTCAGCCCCTCTTTTTTTAGTGGTATTTGGATGCATTTGAATGTATTTCATCTCAAGAAAGTTCAGAGACGATGACATTTCACAACCCCACGTCGTGGACCAAAACATTAGAACACACATGCAAAGGACGACAATTCCATGAACATGGCCTGTCAAGGACTGTCTTTCACAACAACATTGGCCCTGTCGACCCGATCCCCATGATCCCCATGTGATCGAAAAAAAATATATATATATATAGTAGCTTCTTGTTACTAAACTACTAGTAAGGCGCTTGTTACTAGTAGCGATGCACTTGTTCCTAGTGTTTTTCTTTCTTTTTTTTTTTTAACTTTTCTTCTATTATATACTCATGATTATTCATGTCTTTGTTTCATGTGTTTCCGATCCAGTCTGATGACCACACTCTCCGCCCCGAGCCAGTCGTCACACGACGCGAGAAAGGCCCGTCCAACTCAGATCACGGGACCTTCTTGGCTCGTCTTGCCGATGAGTTTGGCCGCACCAACCAGCGATTGGAACCAAGAGTCTTAACATGTCTTAACTCTCCAACGTCGGGAATCTGTAGCAGGTTCAAAGTTCAAATTGGCTTTGTTTCTTTCTACAAGTCCAATGAACATTTTGGATGGAGTGGCATGTAGGCCACCTTGGAACATTCCGCTCTACTCTGCACTTATTGAACCTGTTCTACAAACTTCTACTTGGGGCCAGCAATAAACAAATCCTCCCACAATAGACCTGCGATTGTCGCGAGCGATGTTTTGAATGGTGTAGAATGGTACGTGTAGTCCTTCACCAAACACTTCCACATAACTTTCGACAAGACCTTCAAAATCCACCTTGTTCCTCACATCCAAGGCATCTCCACGCCCCACGTTGCATCGCAGCTGAAACAATAAAAGCTGTGGGTCAAACTAGCAAGTGCTGGCGGCGCTCACTGTGGTTCTTGAATCAATGTTTGATCAATCCCCCGAAAGTGCTAGTCAACCTTTCTTTCAGGCATGATCCACAGCTACTTGCCTCTTTTTGAGGCACTTTGGCGAAGGAAGAGGAACCCCACTGTGAGGGAAATCAACATCCTGCCCCCTTCATGATGGGACTATCTCAAAGGCAGTTCACTCTTTTCGCCGGCTGCGGTTGTCGCAGAACCCCCGAGACTGAGACAGCCCCAAATGACCACACTGGCTCAACTTTGGGTGAGAGGCACCTCCAAAAAAGGACACAAATGACTCGAGTTGAGACGGCCAAAGTCAATGCCTTGCAGTCATCGAACACCTGGTTTTCGCACTGCGTGCGGACACATCCATTCACGCAGATTCACACATCATGAGCCAGAAGTGTCCCATCAAATGGATCATCTAATGGATCCGGATTTACATAATGTTACATGTATACAATCTGCGGTCACCAACTCCCCGTAGATGATGCAACCTCCAATCCGATCCAAACATGATCTGAATGCCAACCACTACCTTGTGGCCCAACAGCGCCGCTTCTCACCCTCCAGCTGATCATTTGTTCCGTACTGCGTGGCCGCTGCATGGGCAGCAGGGCCCCGAAAATCTGATGGGCGGTGCTGCCACCCAGTGACTCTGGAGCCAAACCGTCCCTCGGTGCATATTCTGAGGTGTGTGCAAGTGTTTGGTCCCCAAGAGTATGAATGTCCCCACAACTTTAAACAATTCTTCCCCGATGGCCCGTCCCCAAGGAGCGATGTACTTGACCAGGTGGGCGGGCTTCGTCTAACCAAAGAAGAACACATTCATGGGAAACCTCTTGTTAGATCCCCTGGCCATTCCACACCAAGTCCAAGTGCTTGGTCATGCTTGGTCTCTCGATGATACTTCACCCACCCATATGAAGAGGTCGACCTATACTCCCTAATGCACAAGGTACATTCGCCTCTATTCGTCACATTCTCCAGGAACATAGAGGTAACCCTCCGTACCACTCAGATTTTTGATTTCCCTCTCTGCCTGTTACAAACACGCCATGTGATGGGCCCAATTTCCCGCTGGTCTCGCTGGATAGAAGTGCTGCATTTATTCGACATGTCCAGTATGCCATTACCCGGAAAAAGGACTTGGACCAAATCCCGCATCCGGACGCGGGATCTTGAGAAACTCCTAAACAATTCGTAATTAACTAATTAGAAATTCGTTATCCAAATGATGTGACTACCTTGGATTCGCTGCAACACCAGCCGCTATGCTGTTCGTTTTCACGTAGTTCATTTGGTCGTTTACATTCAATGTGGATAGCTCCCTGTATCTATCCGGCAACGTGCACCCGTTCTGAAAGAACAAGGGACAGTGTTGTCACGGACCGTCGCTGACATCCGTACGTGCGCGTCCCATATTCTGGGGGATTATATATATAATATATATACATATATATATTTTTTAATATTATATTATATTCATCAAGAGGCTGCAAACAAGTCTTTGATGTCCTTCAAATATCTTCAATGAGAAAGGTTGGCCCACAGCACCACAGGAACCCATTGGACGCGTTGGACGGCTCTGAAGCCTCCTTCTCAGGACTTTGCTGAGGATCCCACAGGCGAACGGCCCGGGTGGTTGAAATCAATGGGCGAAATGCCAGGGTTCAGTGTAGATGATCACACCCGGCCCGACAAACCAGGTTAATCCCAACATCAACATCTATGCGGTGGGCATCAAGAACCTGGGTTCGGTTGGGCATAGCCCTTAAGGATAAGGGATTGTACAGGTGGTGAGGTTTCATTCAGTTGGGGGCAGGGGTGAAAACATGTGAACACAACCCACATCTTCCGGTCTAAAGCAGGAAGAACAATGAACAATCTACAGTTTTGAGGTCCAAAAGTCGAAACCACCAAACACTTATATATATATATGATATACAGTTTGACTATTTTTACCTACAGTAGTATTATATATATATATACAGGTATAACATGGTATAACTACAGGATACTACAGGCATGCAGGTGGATGTAGGTGGTGGATTTCTGCATCTCGCCCTGCCTACAGGCTGCGGCGGAGATTGATGACGAGCCCCAAAAGGCCCAAGGTCACGCCGCACCTCGGGTCGCTCGCGGTCGAGCACAAAATCATTCGGTTGGAGGCCATCGCTCAGAACAAACCTGGCAGAGCTGCCACTCCCAAGGTCCCCACGTCTCAAACAAAAGGGGTTCCATCTTTCCAGACCTCATGTAATTTGGCTCTTTCTCAAAAGCTTTCAAGCATGAACCATCACAGGGCCGCGACACTTGATGACAATTGTTATTGGATGTCGAAACATGTCGAAACGTGGGTGTTCCACCTTGGCACAGCATTTGCTCCCAAAAGTCCCAGCTCAACCTGTTGAGGACTGAATCTGCTGAGGTCCTCGTCTACCACAAACATCTCAATCCCCACCCCACCACGTACCGCCACTTCCCATCCCAGCCATCCCAGAACTGAAAGTCCGCCCAGAAGCGCTGCGAGCAACACCTCCACCACTGACCGGCCCCGGTTTCGGAGCCGTTTCTGCTTTCGAAGGCCCCGTGACATGGCCGCAGGTGCAATGAAGACCTGAAATCACCGGCGCCAAGGGCATCGCTACTAGGAGCAAGGACGCTACTAGGTGGAGGCCATCGCTATTAAATTAGCAGTGGAGGCCATTCGCTACTAGGGTGGAGGCTCAGAAGTGAACCATAGTAGACATCAGCCGCTGGTCACCCTGCTGGATTACTCCTGGACGACTCCTGTATCACAGGTATATATATATAGACCACACATCCATTGGACTCATTGGATGCCCCATGCTGTAATGCAATAAATAACACATGATCATAGTAATACGCAATCTGTCAAATCTGTCAAATCGAACATGACACATGGTGAAGCTGCGAAGCTATTTAGATGGGACCTCAAGAAATCAGGGCTCTTGATCCTGGCCAAAATGTGACAAATCCCTCGGCCATCCACATGCCTACTTCTGAAAAGGAAGTTGTGCATCAGGTGAGTTTGGAGGGTCCAAGATGGTACAAGTACAAGCTGGCTTGATCCATTGAGAGGCAACCAAAACCTCCTGGGTCCCAACCCAAACATGAGCCCCACGGCCCCACTGCTATACAACTCCGTTCTGTCAGGTCCAGTTGCCCGACACCTGGGGCTGATACATATTTCATGCTAGGCAGCCTCTTCAGGTCCCATATGGGACGAACACGCCAAAACGGAGATCCCAAAAGCGCGTATTCCACCAAACCCCTTCAAAAGGCTATATTTCGACAAATCACCCACATGTGCAAGACCTGCAAACCATGCCTCTGCCGAGTTGAGGGAAACATGTTGTTCCGCATGGATGAAACATCCGAATCCGAGGTGCCAAATAGCTGCCGAAAATGGCACCCAGCGTCGCTTGCACCACACCGATGTCCTGCCATGTGCTTGGAGCAGGGAGTTTGATATCTAATTTGTCTCCCTACCTCTCTGTCTGTCTCTCTTTGTCGGGGTGGGGATGGTGACTACCGAAAGAGGCTGGTATCTCCACGATTTATGAGGTCCAGTGACCAAAGAACCCCTTCTTCAGAATTGGACCTGGTCTCTACACCCCTCCTGCCGTACAAAACAAAACTGACTTTGACATATTCGATGTGCATATAAATAAACATATGACCCGGAAAATGTATTGCTGTGGTTTGTGCACTTTGACATGTCAACCCTTTGTATGACATCTCTTCATCTCAAAACCCAAAAAACATGCAAAACACGATCACTGCCATCCGCCCTCCTTGAGGACCAGAGCTGGCAGCGCTGTCGCCTGGTGGCGCTTGGGGTGAAAGGAAAGAGCGGTGAAGAACATCCCAAAGGCGGCTCCTTTTCCATGTGATTCTCAAACGACCTTTCTGCATCTGAAATCAAAGAATGCGTGGCTCAGGTTGCTTTCAATTGAATAAGTGCATCGTGCTGATTCTGTGATGATTCTTCACCTACCAGCCTACCATTGCTTTGGGTGCACCAAGAGACAACACCAAACAAGGTTTTCTTATTCACTTCTTCACCTCGTGGGATTTGCACCAAGAGCCAAGCCCTTAAAACAAAAACTGCGGTTCCTATTTCATTCAACAAATCTCCTAGCGACCTTCCAATCATCTGAGCTTGGAGACCCAAACAGCTTCTGGAAGGTAAATCTGGTGAACTCTGTTTAGTCGAGGAACATTTCTAGATCAAGAATTGACACCCCACAGAGTCTTGGAGGTTTGGGTTGCGTTGGTATTTCTTGTTGGAGGACATGTTCTGCAAACATACATGCAAACAATGTTCTATCTGGACTGCTGCCACCAACAATAGCACCATCCGCTCGAACAGTTCTGCCAGGCCACTAGCAGCAATCCGGACGACAGCAATCGCCGCTCATTCTGATCCAACTGACCTCTGGTCTTGCTCACAATGGCAGCGACCTGCAAAAACCGAGAGGGAGAGCCTTTGCCCCAAGAAACGCACAAAACACATCTGAGATGCTGTGAACCGTGTCACCACCTTAAGTGTGGCCCCAAACATGTTTTGCTGATCACCTCCGTCGACTGGCCTCAGTCCGCAGCAGGAGGAAGTTCAAGGGGAAGCCGAAGAGGACACTGAGCAAAACACCCATCTTTCCAAGTGCTGCGGCCTGAGTTGAAACCACGCTCGCCCGCGAACTGCTTCGTAGACTCGGAGTGCAGCAAAGTATGGTTGTCTGATGGGACTCTGTCCGTCCAAGACTGTATCCTGGTAGTCATGTAAGGACCTGTCCTGGTGATGAAGTCTCAGTGTATGATCCCCTATGATCTTACATCATATCTGACCGGCAGCCCCTCAAACCGAGGCATGTCCTGCTGGAGGGGGGTCTAAGTCCATGATCGCATGGAAGGCAGGGCAACCTGTCATCTGGCTCAGGGATTGCCTCCCAAAACTCCAAGAAGCTCGACACCATTGGCTTCTTTTTGTGACACTTTTTGCACCATTTGGTGATCGAGAAACATGGATAACCCTAATGGGTTCAGCCCCAACTAGGCGAGCGTCCAGATCTGTTCCAGCATAGTTGGACAGCAGCAATCCATTCACATTGTCTCCAAAGGTGTAGAGGCCTGCAATCATCAGTGCCTCAGAGAAACGATTTTCAGGTGAAAAAGCAATGCTTGGCTTCCAGCTGCTTGTGTGATTGTTCAATTCGTGTTGAAGTGGCAAACCAGCCGATTCAGTTGCTCCCGGTCAAGAAACAGCGACCCATACTCAATGCATCTCAATACTAACGTTACTGTACTCTTCATGCAAACTAGCTCTAAGTAGCTGAACAAAAGCAACGAGACTCGGTGGCTGAGCGGCTCTGTCCACCACCAAAAACGTGGATCGGTGAGAAAAACGATGGCTCAATGGAATTCGGAAGGCCGCTTGGTTGATGTTTGCTTCACTTCAATGGTTGCCTCTTGGATGCATATGGCACTCCAGGGTTGTTATTATTGTCCTTCTTGGGCTTTTTGCATCCAAACATGCCCTGAGTCAAAACAATCAGATCATGGAAGGGGAACTTACGCTAATTCAAAAACTACAGCACCTTCCTCTATAGTATATTAAACCTCGCCTGTTCCACTTCCATGATTGTTGGAGATGGCAGGTACAGTAGCCGATCAGGTATTTCTGCCTGCATTGGCTTGCTTCTCCACGGTGATGTTGTATTGAACCCGTTGGTTTCTCATTTGTCTCCCTCTCCCGTTCTCTCCCCTTCTCTCTCACTCACTCTCTCTCTCTCTCACACTCACTCACTCACTCACTCACTCACTCACTCACTCACTCACTCACTCACTC